TGGATAGGATAATGGTGCTAAAATATTAGAATTTTTAAATAACTATTGTTCCAAACTCACCTCATACCTTTCACTCTATTATCCTGTCCTTCCAGAATTTCCAAAGGATCCAAAAACTAAAGCAATATCAACTAGCTGAGCAAAGCCATGTGTCAGTGTCCATTCTGACCAGTTGGCTCTGTGTCATATTGTTAAATATTTTCTACATTCCACTAACTCTTACTGGACATACACTGGGCTCCAGGTACAATTTTATTTAGTGAAGATATGGAGATATAATGCAGAGTTCTTGACCTTAAGAAGTTCACAGGTTATGGACAGGGGATGTGAACAATAAGGATGTGAACACAACCTTTTCTGGAGCTCTTCTCAGGCCAGCAAGCTCCTTACTATTTAAGAAGATCTGTTTTCATCTTAGGTTCAATCATGAAATCATCTTATTTTAAAAAATGTTTTTATTAAGGCATGCATGCATCCTTAGTTGCTCAGTGGTGTCCAACTCTTTGAAACCCTTTGGACTGTAGCCCTTCAAGCACTTCTGTCCATGGAGTTTTCCAGGCAAGAATACTGCAGTAGGTTGCCATTTTCCTCCATCTTAGCTTCCATTATATTGAGCTGACATCTGCCTCCCCATTATCTGGGCTGTTTGGGGCTCGCTATACCCTACAGAGCAGATCAAGCAAACTAATACCTATTTTCTCTAATATCTTTCTTACATTTGGGCTTCCCAGTGGTAAAGAATCCGCCTGCCAATGCAGGAGACACAGGAGACGCGGGTTCCATCCCTGGGTTGGAAAGATCCCCTGGAGGAGGGCATGGCAACCCACTCCAGTATTCTTGCCTGGAAAGCTCCATGGACAGAGGAGTCTGGCAGGCTACAGTCCATGGGGTGGCAAAGAGTTGGACATGACTGAACACACATGCATGCCTGTCTTACATTTAAGGATAGCTTTCACATCCTACTCTGACTGTTAGCAGTATGTTCTCACTGACCTATTGGGACTCTCTTGTGTCCTGGAATAAAAAATGGAGAGAATCCTACAGCTGGCTTGATCCTTAGAGATACCTTTCCTTTTTTGCAAGTGGTATCTGCAGGTCAGAAAGATTATATAACATTCCAAAATAAGCTTAGAAATTAGTCTTCTTAACAATCTGGTTAGTGGTCTTTTCATAACATCATTGGAACAAACTCCCAGTTTTTACATTTCCAGAATTACCCCCAAACTCCAAAAATTACTACAATTTACTGTGGCTATCACCTCTGTTGGTTAGGTACAACTTCTTTAATGCTACCTAACATCAGAAACTCCAGTACTTTGGCCACCTCATGTGAAGAGCTGACTCATTGGAAAAAAATCCCTCCTGATGCTGGGAGGGATTGGGGGCAGGAGGAGAAGGGGACGGCAGAGAATGAGATGGGTGGATGGCATCACTGAATCGATGGACATGAGTTTGAGTAAACTCCGGGAGTTTGTGATGGACAGAGAGGCCTGGCATGCTGTGATTCATGGGGTCTCAAAGAGTCAGACACGACTCAGAGACTGAACTGAACTGAACTGAACGTAAGAGGTCTGTATAGTCAAACCTATGGTCTTTCCAGTAGTTGTGTATGGATGTGAGAGTTGGACCATAACAGTGGCTGAACACAGAAGAATTGATGCTTTCAAACTGTGGTGCTAGAGAAGACTTTTGAGAGTCCCTTGGGCTGAAAGGAGATCTAACCAGTCAATCCTAGGAGGAAATTAATCCTGAATATTCACTGGAGGGGCTGTTGCTGAAACTGAAGTTCCAGTACTTTAGCCATCTAATGGGAAGAGCCAACTCATTGGAAAAGACCCTGATGGATCTTTTCAATCTTGGGAAAGATCGAAGGCAAAAGGAGAGGGGGGCAGCAGAGGACGAGATGTTTATATAGCATCACTGACTCAATGGACATGAAATTGAGCAAACCCCGGGAGATAATGAAGGTCAGGGAAGCCTGACGTGCTGCAATCCATGGAGTCACAAGGAGTCAGATATGACTTAGCGGCTGAACAACGACAAAACAAAACCTAAGAGGATAGGACTTTCTAAGTATCACAGTCACTTTATGGGGCATGGCCTTTCTATTGGATCAGTGATTATCAATGCTGGTTGCATATTAGAAGCACCCAGGGCATTTATTATTAAGACCAATTAAATCAGTATGGGTCTCAAACATCAGTAATTCCTTCAGGTAATTCTTATTCACACTAAGTGTTGAGAAGCACTATATTAGATAAAAACAACAATTCATTTTCTAAAAAAAATGAGAATCAATACAGTATTTGAACCAAAAAGGGAAGATAACTGGCTCTGAGGGTTTGATTATACTATTTGATCTCAACTTCTTACAAAAAAGAGAATGGATGCATTTGACTCATTTCTTTCTACCTTTAGTTTCAGAGATGAGAAAATGACACGACCTACCTTTGTACTTTGAATTATACCTTGCTTGTATATATGTATTTTATCTGGCTCTTAAGCCACATAGAGACATGATTAACTTGCAGCTCCATACAGTATCTCTGGTGTGTAGCCTCAGGTGGGAGCAGTATTATTATGATCATTTTACCAGTTAGGCATAGGGATGTCTAAAGCATAGATCAACAGTCTAGGAGCAGCAAGTCAGTTATTTGGTGATATCAGGGGAACATTTATTCTTGCCTAGATTTATTGACATTGCCTATGTAAGGCACAGCACTATCCTCAAAACTTTTTTTTGGTTGGAAAAACAGGACATAGGGGATAAAAGTATATGTGTAAAAGGATAGAAAGAAATGTGCATGTTAAATAGATATTGGATTGGTCGAAAAGTTTATTAGTGTTTTTCCATAAGGTGAGTCTAATGACACTTATTTGTCTTTAACTTTATTCAAAACAATTTTGTTAGATTGTATTGTGACAACTCTCTTAGCTGTTCAGTTGCTAAGTCACGTCAGACTCTTTGAGACCCAACGGACTGCAGCACACCTCCACTATCTCCCAGAGTTTGTTCAAATTCAAATCCATTGAGTTGGTGATGCTATCTAACCATCTCATCCTCTGCTGCCCTCTTCTCTTTTTGTCTTCAATCTTTCCCAGCATCAAGGTCTTTTCCAATGAATTTGCTCTTCGCATCAGGTAGACAAAGTACTGGAGTTTCAGCTTCAGCAACAGTCCCTCCAAAGAATATTCAGGGTTGATTTCCTTTAGGATTGACTGGTTTGATCTCTTTGTAATCCAAAGGAATCTCCAGAGTCTTCTCCAGCACCACAACTCAAAAGCATCAATTCTTTGGAGCTCAGCTTTCTTTATGGTCCAAGTCTCACATCCATACACGACTACTGGAAAAACCATAGCTTTGACATCTCTGCTTTTTAATACACTGTTTAGGTTTATCATAGCTTTCCTTCTGATAAGCAACTGTCTTTTAATTTCATGGCTGCAGTCACCATCTGCAGTGATTTTCAAGCCCCCAAAATAAAATCTGTTACTGCTTCCACCTTTTTCCCTTCTATTTGCCATAAAGTGATGGGATAGCATACCATGATCTTAGTTTTTTTACTGTTGAATTTTAAGCCAGCTTTTTCACTCTCCTCTTTCACCCTCATCAAGAGGCTCTTTAGTTCCTCTGCCATTAGAGTGGTATCACCTGAGTATCTGAGGTTGTTGATATTTCTCCTGGAAATCTTGATTCCAGCCTGGAATTTCGTGTGATGTACGCTTTATAGAAGTTAAATAACCAGGGTGACAATATACAGTCTTGTACTCATTTCCCAATTTTGAACCAGTCTGTTGTTTTGTATAAGGTTCCAATTGCTGCTTCTTTACCTGCATACAGGCTTCTCAGGAGACAGGTAAGGTGGTCTGGTATTCCTGTCTCTTTAAGAATTTTCCACAGTTTTTTGTGATCCACACAGTCAAAGGCTTAGAGGAGTCAATGGAGAAGGAGATGTTTTTTAGAACTCCTTGCTTTCTCCATAATCCAAAGAATGTTGACAATTTGATCTCTGGTTCCTCCGCCTTTTTGAAACCCAGCTTGTACATCTGGAAATTCTTGGTTCATGTACTGCTGAAGCCTAGCTTGAAGGATTTTGAGCATTACCTTGCTAGCAGGTGAAGTGAGTGCAACTGTATGGTAGTTTGAACATTCTTTGTCATTGTCCTTCTTTGGGATTGGAATGAAAATTGACCTTTTCCAATTCTGCGGCCACTGCTGTGTTTTTGAAATTTGCTGGAATATTGATTACAGCAGTTTAACAGCATCATCTTTTAGGATTAGAAATACCTCAGCTGTAATTCCATCACCTCGACTAGCTTTGTTCATAGTAATGCTTCCTAAGGCCCATTTGACTTCACACTTCATGATGCCCAGCCCTAGGTGCATGACAACACCATCATGGTTATCTGCATCTTTAAGCCTTTCTTGTACAGTTCTTCCAGGTATTCTTGCCACCTCTTCCCAATCTCTTCTGCTTCTGTTTAGTCCTTACCATTTCTGTCCTATATTGTCATGAAGTAGCCTGCATTAAAAAAAAAAAAAAAACACATCAAAATTGGTAAACTTCTGGGCAGCACTGTTTTAATATTGAAAATGGAAGTAAAGAGTAAGATTTTTGGTACACTATGCTGTATTACTTCAAGAAAGGTAAAAACACAACTGAAATGCAAAAAAAAAAAAAAAAAGATTTGTGCAGTGTATGGGGAAGTTAATGTGACTGAGCAAACATGTCAAAAGTGGTTTGTGAAGTTTTGGGCTGTGGATTTCTCACTTGGCAATGCTCCATGGTTGGGTAGACCCAACCATGAAGTTGATAGGGATCAAATAGAGACATTGAGAACAAATAATGTTATACCTCATGGGAGATAGCTGACATACTCAAACTATCCAAATCAAGTGTTAAAAATCACTCACATCAACTTGCTTATGTTAAGTGCTTTGATGTTTGGGTTCCACACAAGTTCAGCCAAAAAAAAAAAAAAACCAGACACTTACTTGATCATATTTCTGCATGCCACTCCCCACTTACACATAAGGAAAATGCTCCAGTTTTGAAACAAATTGTGACAAGCAACAAAAAGTGGATACTGTACAATAAGGTGGAATGGAAGAGCCTGTGGGGCCTGCAAATGAACCACCACCAACCACAACAAAAACCAATATTCATCCCATAAAGGAGATGTCGTGTATATGATGGGATTGGAAGGGAGTCTTCTATCATGAGCTCCTTCTGGAAAACCAAATGATGAATTCCAACAAGTAGTGCTCCAAATTCCGGCAACTGAAAGCAGCACTCAATGAAAAGCATCTGGAATTAAGTCAACAGAACATGCATAATCTTCCATCACGATAACACAAGATCACGTTTCTTCGATGATCACACAAAAAATGTTACCACTTGGCTGGGAAGTTTTGATTCATCTGTGGTATTCATCAGACATTGCACCTTTGGATTTCCACTTATTTCAGTCTTTATAGAATTCTCTTAATGGAAAAGATTTCAGTTCCCTGGAAGACTATAAAAGGTACCTAGAACAGTTCTCTGCTCAAAAAGTTAAAAAGTTTTGGGAAGATAGAATTATGAAGTCGTCTGAAAAATGGCAGAAGATAGTGCGACAAAATGGTAAATATGTTGTTCAATAAAATTCTTTGTGAAAATGAAAAATGTCTTTAAGTGAAAGTAAAATGGAAGTTTCTCAGTCATGTCCAATTCTTTGTGACCCCATGGACTGCAACCCACCAGGCTCCTCTGTCTACGGGATTATCCAGGCAAGAACAGCGGTGTGGGTTGCCATTCCCTTCTCCAAGGGATTTTCCCAACCCAGAGATCGAGCCTGGGTCTCTTGAATTGCAGGCAGACTTTTTGCTACATGAGCCACCAGGGAAGCCACATACTCCCTAACTCCTTAAAAATGTCTTTATTGTTACTTAAAATCAAAGGAACTTTTTGGCCAACCCAACCCACACTAAACATGCAGCAATTGTCAAGAAGATATGATTTCTGACTTTACCCTCTACCATTTCTGCAACTGTGCTCTGTGCACTTTGTAAACATCCCTTTCTGATATTTACATACATTGGATGCAGTTAGAAGCTTGCATGTCAATCTCTCTTTGTTGTGAATGTTGAGTTTGAATCTCTTGTTGCTACTATCTTGTCTAACATAGTTCATGCTACATAATTATTTGCTGAGTGACTTCAAGATGCTGAATTTGGAGACTATGTGGGACTAAGACATGTATGTTGCGTGCATTCCCATCAGCTGCTCAGATTGTCTTTTTATTTTCTGAAGGATCCTGGGGCGCTCAGAATAGGTATCTTAAAATTGCATGGAACTAATTTTCAGAGGAAATTCTTTGCCAGCTTCAGACTTTCAGTGTGTTAGGATCTGGTTCTTAGATAACCAGAAAGTGGCCTATTAGGGAAAGTAGATAAGAATTCCTGTCATATTTAGCTAGAATTTGAATACAGTTCCCACTCCATCAACAAGCATATTGTTCAGGGGTGGGGCTTCACTTTTTTCAGGAATATCTTATTATTGTATACAAATTTACATGTTATATTATAAATATACATGATTATACACTAAAAATGTCAACTATGTAAAAATATATATGTAATGTATATTAGTGTATATAGATACATATGTGTATATGTATGTGCACTTTATATATAGCTATTTAAAATAAAGAGTGAGAAGACCCCCCTTTCCTTCTCCTCTTCTCACTTCTTGATCAAAAAATGGGCTACATTTAAGGAAGGGACACTGAATAAAAAGTCAAAGGACACAGTCTATTTATGGCTCTGTCTTAATTTAATGACTGGGGTCAGTCCACCACATCTCTATCTCTGTTTCTTTAATGTTAAGATGATGGGGTTTGAATAGGTGATCTCTTGGGTAAACTTTTATTGCACTGTAATTCTGTAGACTTATTTATCATCCATTATACTGAATTTTTAATATGTAACGTGCTTCTCTGAGCTGCTGTTCAAAGAAACACGACACAGGATGTGAGACTCTGTTAATATGCTAAGGTTATAGAAGGGAAGGACTTGGCCAACAAACTTTAGTTCTGGCTCAGATGCTATATGCTCATAGGCAAACCCTTCTGATTTCTGGAGCTCAGTTTTTCCATTTGGAAAGTGCAGGGAAAAAAACCCCCACATGCTATCTTAGTCCTCTAGGGCCTTTGGGACAGGATTTCAGAAATCTAGGTACAGAAGGAATCAGACAAAAGTCATCTGATCACACAGAACCATTGTTTTGACAACATATTTTATGCCTTTATCTTTATTTCTATCATCAGTTCATATGCCCTGCTGATTTTTTTTTCCTAATTAAGCACTACCTTCCCACTAATAACAAAACTCCTACTGAAGACCTACTGAAACATTACTCTAACAGAGTTTTTGCTGTGATGAGTAACAGAGGAAACGTTTCTGGCCAGTCAGAACGTTTCTCTGAAAAAAAGCACGTCGGTAAGAACACGGGTCAGAGGGCAGTGATCTATTCAGGATCGAACTGAAACAGATCCAGGGAAATGGGCCAGGATGGGAGTTGCTGGGTCCTCCCAGAATAGTCTCCGTTGCTGTACTTCACTGCATCCTTTCTGTAAAACAAGAGTGATGAGAGTGAGGAGGCTCTGTGACAGAATTCACACCAGCAGCCGACCCAGGTCGGCAGTGCCTGATGTAATTGGTCCCATCACATTGACATGTGATTGACATGTGATTGACATCACACTGGGGGGTCATTCCCAACCACTACCAAATCATTCCTCAATCCACAGTCCCAAAACTCTCAATATAAAACGTGGTAGGCAAGAGTCCTCTCAGAATGCCAGCTTTGAGTAAACTCCACCCGGCGTCTTTTGAGTTCAAACCACTGGCAAAACCTGTCTGAATCCCTATCTGTTCTATATTGTCCCATAACGCAGACACGCCCCTGAGAGAGTTACATTCCTCAGTTGCCCGGGGTTGCCTCTGAGTGGCCTGAATAGGTCCACTTCTGCAGCCCCGCATACAAACAGTCAAGGAGATTAAAATACCACGTTTTGTATGAATTGAAGACATTCTTCCTCCTTTTCACCACCCTGAATAGAGAACCGCACGCCAGCGTCGTCTCTCTCGTTGTCTTTCCCTCATCAGCGGTCCAATGTCTGTGAATACGAGAAAATGCACATATGCATCTGAATGCAGACATGTCGCTTGACAAAAAATAATAACAATAATAATAACCCCCTGAAATGTAATTACCAGGTTAAAAAAAAAAACGCACCCAGTTTTCAGAGCCTATCACATCTCGCGCCTCGGCCGCGCAGCTCCCCCGACACTGCTGCTGTTGTGTCAGACAGTGGCAGTGTTGAGCCCCGGAGCCGAGCCCGCGGCAGTCCCCGCGGCCGCCCAGTCTCCGCCGCGGACTCGGGCGCGCAGAGCCACTGGGCCGCGAGGGCGCCGGGGAGCGGGAGGGGCGCGACGGCGGCGAGGGGTCTCCGATCCGCCTCCACGAACTGTTTTCCTTCACCCCCGGCCCGAGCCCCACTCCCTCCCATGGATCGAAATCCACAGAAATTCACTGAGGGAGGGTGAAGGGAAGGAGGTCGCTCGCAGGTTCCTGGCTGTGCCTCCCCCGGGCTCAAGTCGGGGAAGCGGCCCCCCGGTCGGCGGGGCGAGCGGTGGTGTGGGGTGCCCGCACCCCTGCCAAGGCAGATCGCGGGGTGGCGGTCCCCGCTGGGCTCTGCCGCGAGGCCGCTGCGATCCTCCCCCTCCCCCGCCCGCGCCCTCCCCCTTCCTTTCACTAGGACTCCGGGACTCGAGAGAGGGCGCGGGAGGCAGCCACTCGGGCCCGACCCCACTCCAGCGCTCGCCGGGGACGCGGGCGGGTGGCGAGGGGACGCGGCGGGGGCGCGGGGCGGGCGCGGCCATGGAGCGGCGGCGGCGGCGGCGGCGGCAGCACTAGCGACCGCGGGCAGACGAGCGGGCGGGCTGGGCCGCCCGGCGCCGCGGACCGAACTGCACAGCTCAGCAAAAGCGCCCTCGCCCTTCGCGCGCCGCCTCCTGCGAGCCCGAACCCGGCAACATTTTTTTTTTCAAGGCTCCAATCCATCCTTTGAAGAAAAGGAAAAAAAAAATAGCATTGATTGGATAGACTGGGATATATATATAATTTGGGAGGGGGGTTCCTGCTAAAATTAGCCGGGCCCGCGGCGCGCGGTGTGCGAGTGTGTGCGTGCGGGCGTGTGTGTGTGTGTGTGTGTGTGTGTGTGTGTGTGAATGTGATTACTCCAGGACTCCTCGGGCTCCGGAGACGCCATTTTCCCCCTTGATATCTCTCTCTGTAAATCGGTGGCGCGGCGGAGGCGGCCGCGCCGGGCGGGAAGCGCGGGGCCGGCCGGGGCGCCCGCCGCTCGCCTCCGCCTCCGCGCGCTCGGGGGCCCCGGCGCCCCCCGAGCGAGGGCGGCCCGCCCGCGGCTCGCCGTGTGACAGATGCTCATCGCCATGGAGTTGCCGCAGCAGCACCTTCGGGGGCTCGGGCGAGCGACGGGAGCCGGGATCTGAGCGAGCGCCGGGGCCAGCGGAGCCGGAGCCGTGGGTGAGCACGCGCAGCGACCTTGGCCCGGGAGCTCGGCGCCCAGCCGCCCGCCGCGCCGCGGGCCCCCGCACGCCCGGGGCCAGGGGCGGTGTGTGTTCTCTGCGTGCAAAAGTTAACGCTGCCTCGCCGGGGCTTTTGACTTTGCACCGGCGGGAACTGGGAGACCGGGCCGAAGGGGCGGGATGCCGGTCCCGGCGAGACTGCGGAGGATGGGCGCGATTCCGGCCAGCCGGCCGTGAGCAAAGATGCTGGCTCATTTGAAGTGACTCGGTGGTGGCGGCGAGGGTGGCAGCGTCGGGCTGGAGGTCTGGGACCTTATTGAGTTTGGCCTAATCTGATCCCCCCCCCCCCCCACTCCGCCCCGGCCTTCCCCCTCCCCCCGCCTTTTGCACCCTCCCTCCCTCCCTCCGTCCGGCCGCCGACTGCTGGGGCTCGCGGGTTTGGCGTTGGTGGAGTGGACTCAAGAGGGGGAGGGGGGAGGGAAAGGAGTGGGAAGGCGGCAGGATATTTTTTTCCCTCTCTCTTTGTAACTTGCAGGTTAAGTGGAGCTAGAGAGCTACATTGTATCTAGTTGGATTTTGGGGGTGGGTGTAGGTGCGGGGGAGGGGGGAATGTATCAGAATCTAACGTGTCGTTAATAGAAAGAAGAACAGGGAAGAAGTGGTCCAGCCGGCGAAGGTTGGTGTGTGCTTGTGTCGTGGTTCTGTGTTAGTCTTTTTCTTAAAATCTTAATCAATGGATCTGAGTCTCTCTCGTGCTCTCCGGTTTTGGGACTCTGAAAAGACAGGAATTCCCTTAAAAGCAGACGAATGCCCTTTTTGAAAGCACGCATTGTGTGTGTTTCTAGAGGAGCCGTGGGCTTGGGAATTAACGACAGGCTTTCCCGTTCGGTGGTTTCCAGTGGGAAATAACTCCTGAAAGGGAGCCCTTCAGTATCGATTTATTGTTTTTGTCTTTCAAACCATTATCCCTTTGACTACAATACTGTCCAAGAAGTTCCACAGAGACAAAGTCAGGTAAACTGGACCGGGCAGATCTTTAGCAAGATGGTGATAACGCTGATGCTGTTTTTGGTGTCTGTTTGTGATAGAAGCTTTGTTGGGTAATAGCAATTTCTGATCGGTAGAGCATGCTGGCTCTACAAAAATAAGTAACTACCGAAATGCTGTCTTCCAGTCCCCATCCCCGACAGGCTGCACACACCCCTCCTCCCACAACCCACACCAGTTACAATTCTGAAAGAGGATCCAACTGGAAATATTTTCTTTGGAGATCGGAAAGTTGTGCAATTGGAAGTATGAGATGAGGCTAGAGGTACTGCTGGTGTGGGGAGGGGGTTCTTATTGCCCCTTGATGCTGCATTTCTTCTTTATGTGTGCCTATGTGGGTTCTGAAGGTGTATATATTGGTCTAAGAGGACTGTTGAGGGAAGGATTTCCGATTCATTTCCGCTTCAAATAAACTGTCCTGATAATCTCATGGTTGACATCTAATGCTAAAAGGCCAATTTGTGTGTCTCTTTATCCCTGCAGAAGCTCTTCTCTGAAAGGGCAGTTTATTTTGGAATTCTACCACAGCTACTTTTTCTTTCAAGCCTCCCCATCCCCTCCATCACCATCCACACCTTTTTTAAAAGTTAGTTGGAGTCCACGGTCTTTATGGAAATACTAATACTACTTGTTTTCCTCTTACATTATTTTTAAAAATTCTGTTCATTTTCGTTCCTTTACTCTTCATCCTGTTTTTCCCTTCCTGTAGTTTTGTGCAAAATCTAACTTTATAAAGTTGTTATTGCCAAAACTGTCTGGCAGTCTTGCCCCATCTCTTAACTATCCTGTAGTTTACACAGGTAGATCAGGTTGCCCTTCCCAGCCCATCTTTATCCTCAAAACATGTGTGTAGGTGTGCACATGCATGCTCATGTGTTTTGGAGGGGCAGGAGTGGGCTCAGAAAGAACGTGGAGAGGAGAGAGGAGAGGAGAGGAAGGGTGTTGTTCTGTGTGGCCACATCTGCAACACTGGGGCCAGACCAGCAGGCCAGGAGAGAGTTACCCTCACACACCCCAGTTGGATGTTGTCTGGCTAGGATGGGGAGGTGGAGCCAACTCTCCAGGGGTGTGTGAGGGAGGAGAAAGTTTGTAGCACTTTAAAATGTAGCCAGTTTACAGTCCTTGGTCACTCCTTCCCCTTCTGCTTTTTGTGACTTCTGCCATTCCAAAACTCCTGAAGGGAGACGTGATCTCTTTTGCTCTCACTTGGAAGTCCCAGTGAAGCTGAAGATGCATTATTGTCCTCTGTACTTAATTACTTTGCCTGCTACCAAAGAAGGGCTTTAGGGCAGATCAGAAGAGTATGGCTAAACACAGAGATTTGCCAACTTCAGGGAATGTAGCCTGAGAAGACAGGAGACCAGGTATGCAGAAAGTGCTGCTTTGCACACCATCTCCCCTCCCCCATTAAGAAAATAAAAGTCTTAGTCTTGGAAAGTTGAATCAGTGTTAGAGCTGGTCTCTGGGAACTGCTAGCCACTATAGTAATCTGAGCGCAGGCAGAGGGGAGGAGGTGGTGAGTGAATGCTATCGGAAGCTAGAGGAGGAAAGCAGACTTGTTTCTGTTAGCAGGGAAAATAGATGTGTCACTGAAATAAACAAACTGGAGGTGGGGAATGGCTTGTAGTGAACACAAGGATGATTGACTGAGAGGCAGTGATATGGTTAGGAAGGGGCCAGTTATAGCTTGGGAGATAGTATCAACTGCCTTATATGTTCACGAATGGGCTGGGCAAGTGAAGGGGTGTAATCTGACCTTTTGTATGTTAACATCAGAACATCCCACAGGAAGGCATCGCTGGCAGACCTTGTTCTGCACTTCACACAGGGGAAGCCTAGGGGTATCCCCGTGTGAACCAAGGAGCCCCTTTGGTGCCACAAGGACTTCTGGTCCTGTGTGTGCATTATTCATGGTAAGCTACTTTGTAAGTCACCTAAAAATGAGAGCTGAGGGCAAAGAGAAAACAGTACTTGGAATCTTTGTAGCAAATTTAGTTGAAAATGGTCAGTGGGGGGAGGCAGGAGTTTGCTGAAGAAGAAATAAATAGGTTGGTACTTTCCCCTGGATTCCTGATTCCATTTCTGCTGTTATCTTGACTTTCAGTTCCATTAGGAGCAGAATCAATACTTCACTGGCACAAAAAATGTACCTCTAGGAGCGCAGAGTTCTTTTAACCTGGTCATTATTTTTAGTTGTACTTTAGTCTCTGCTCTGAAGTGTCTATATGATATGCACAAGGAGGAAGAGGAGAGGTTGGCTGTTTGGATGGGACATCCTTTCTGGAGTTTGTAGAGACACTGAAACTCAGCTATTCAGAATGCCAGTTTTTCCCTTGGAGACTTGAAGTTTTAATTGAAACCAGATAGCTATTGAGAGTGGACCTGGCCAACGAAATCTTGTTTTCTTCACTGCTCAGGAATGGAAAATAAATAATTTTTGCTGATGGCATTTCAAGTTGCTTCAGTTTTGTTCCTGCCAGGAGAATGGGATAAATTATTATTAACACATTAACATTCTCAGAAGTTGCAGTGCCTTAAAAAAATGATATAATGTTACTGAGTTTGCCCAGGGACCCACTGTGTGGGATCTGTCTCTTCAGGATGGGGGAGTGGGGAGCAGAGACAGGAGGCTGCTCTTGTCCTGAAGGGGTAGCTCTGCCCTGAGAAAAGGAAGCTCATAGAGTCCTGGCCACATATTGCTGTGCTTGGTCCTTGGGTTCTGTGAAGAAGGGAACAAAACAGTCCAGTTCCATTGCTATCCTATGATCTTATGGTATACTATGAAACCTGGTGAGGTTCCCAAAATGTTTTGGGTCAGGATTAAATAAGGAGCTGGCTCAGTGGGTAAAGAATGTCCCTGAAGTACAGGAGACACAGGAGACGTAGGTTTGATCCCTGGGTCAGGAGGATCCCCTGGAGGAGGAAATGGCAACCCACTCCAGTATTCTTGTCTGGCAAATCCCATAGACAGAGGAGCCTGGTGGGCTGCAGTCCATGGGTCGCAAAGAGTCAGACACAACTGCTCATGCGTGCATGTACATAAATAAGGAGCACAGCCATCAGATCTAGCCATAGGTTTGAACTTCATTTAGAATTGTTTCTAAAGGAAACCCTGGTGTTTCACAAACTCTTCATGAAACTGCAGACACTTTTGGGCAGCCACATGCTTGATAAGTGCAGAGAAGTAAACACCGAGATGCCCACAGAATGTAGTACTTCATGAATTCAGGGGAAAGATGCCAGCTTGCATTCTTGTTTGGCTCTAACTATTTATGTCCATTTTCGCTTAGCTTACTACTAGATTCTTATGCCCTCTTAGACACACTAGGTTGGGACAATATCAAGTTTTGGGGGAAACTGGTGATCTTAGATGGCTGAGTCCAATTTAGTGGCCCTTACATTCCACATCTGGAATTTTCAGAATCGGGTCAGAGCAGCTTCCCTTTCAGAGTTGGTTTCCTTACCCCCTTAGCCGGTACCCTCTAAGATTGAGGAAAGATTTTTTTTTAATGGCTTTTGGTATAGAAACCTGCAGTTGGCTTTCTGTCCAGTTCAGAGCAAATAATGCCAGGGTCAGATGGAGAATGTGAGCAGCCCTGAAGTCCACAGGCTCTCTTGGGAGGAAGCACATACCCCTCCCCAGGAGCTGATGATGGGTTGTCATCAGCAGATCCATGAGAAATAAATTATAGGCAAGGCCAGCTGAGCTGACCCCCAGGCAGGTAGAGGCTTCTACCTTTCCAAGTGCTGGGAAGGGACAAGTGATGAATGGTGAACTGATAAGAGTTTAGAACTTTGCCACCTTGGAAAAATGTTTCTCTGACCCAATATACCTTTTTGCAGCAAAACAAACTTTTTTATATCCATGGCACTTTTCTTTTCAAAAATATCTTTATATCACATTTGCCCCCTTGATTTTTTAAGGCAGGAAGCTAGGTAAGCCTTTTATCCCCTGCAGAAGATGAGACCATTGATGTGCTGACTTGCTGAATGACACAAGTTGGTGGCCCACATGGGACCAGATGGCTCTGATAAAGTGTGAAGAAGAGCATCACACCTGAAGTGCCAAGATCTGCCTTGGATCTTGTCCCTATTATTTCCCAGCTAAATGTCCCTGGAAAGTTACTTAACCTCTTCGAGCCTCAGTAAATTAATCAGTAAAATAAGGATAAAAGATGCTTACCCTGCCTACTTCACAGGGGTTCTGAGGATTAAATAATACCAGCTAATTTCTATAATTGAACTCTGAGAGGATTTCCACGCTGCCTCCTGGAAACTGGGGTCTGGGATTGTTGTCACCATTACTTGGAGATTAATAGCTTCTTGGTATGCCTAGAAATGCCTGTAGGGGCCCCTTGTGTTCTAAGACAGTCAGGGAATAGTTGTTTTGTGCTCCTGAGTTGACCAAAGGAAAAAGATAATGTGTATAGTATATGTAGTTCAGACCGGTTGAATTCTTGGATACCTACTTTGCATATATATATCTGAGATCAGGAGTCTCAGATAGTATTGAATTTGGACTCAAGGATGTATTAGTGCTCAGGAAAGAATGAGAAGGGAAAAAGAAAAAAGACATGGAGACCCACAGAGAGGACAGGTAATGGGTGGTGAGAGTGTGTGTGTGGGGGGGGGCGGTTTCCATCAGGGAGCCACAGTGGCTGAGAAATGACAGTCAAGACAGAATTTGTATCCTCTCTAAAGAACAGAACTGATAGCAAGATTGCATCTGTCCCAGCAAACCCAGAAAGTCAGGGACAATCTTCATAGACTCTTCTGCATTGCTCCTCCTTCTCTTTCCCATGATTCCTGGCTCGCCCTGTCCAGCAGCCTGTACCAGGCATGTTACAGCATTCACCGGTGAACCCCGTTTTATGCAGCACACATAGGCCTCTGTTCCCTTTAGACTGATTCCCTTGTTGGCCCTGAGCACTTCTACACTTGTCCCCCTCCACACTTCTTCTCCTTCTGTGTCACCGCCTCCTCTCTGAAAGTGTCCCAATTGGTCCCTCTTAAGCCGGAGTGTCTACCTCTTACAACACCTGACCAGCTCTCAGCTCTTCACTGCCTTTTCCAGAGTATTTCAGGACTAAAGCACTTGCCGGGCATCTGGCTTATACTGCTTTGCTCTTTGTTGTCACTCACCTCTCCAGGCTGTGGGTCCTTGAAGGATGAGGCCAAGGTTGCCCCCACAAAGTCCTACTTGTGAATGATTTCTGAGAATGAATGAATCACAGAATTTATGCAGCGATAGAATATTAAAAGTGAATGTTGTTTAAGATACATGAAAGCTCTGCACAGTGAAGCAACACAATGGAGATCTCTTAGACAAAGTGAATAATAAGCACTTATGTCAATGACTTTTTATATTTTTGGCTATCTTTCAGGGGCAATCACCCACTCTCAGTTTCTCCCTCAAAGCCTGAGAGTTAATGATGCTTTACTGCATGTACATCCTATCAGTCAGTGATTCACTTATTCATCCAGTCATCAAAATATTTATTAAGTACCTACCAGAGCCTGCTTGCCACTCTAGCACACATAGCTCTTGACTTTCTCTGAAAATTACAATTGCATTTTTTGTCCACCACACTCATTTTGGCACTTAACCATGCAATCTTCTTTGTTACTTAAGTCCAAGTGCTTCTCACTCCTTGGTGACTGAGGGCGCCTGGCTGCAGGGGAAAAGAAGGCTGAGCAGAGAAATGCACTCAGAGGGGAAAGTTCTGGGCACGGGCTCCTGAAAGACTGGTGGCAGGCTGGACTGGCCCCCGTTCAGCACGTGGTATAGGACAATCCTTTTTGCTCTTTCTTTAGCTTGAGCCACGGTAAAGAGAAAGAGTTTGGATTATTGTGGAGGAGGGGCCCCTTCTGAAGTTCTGTGACTCTATAGGCAGAAGTGTCCCAGGAATTTTAAAGGTTTCTTAAAGCTCAGAATTCCTCAACCCCATTTAATGGTGCCCCAACCAACTGTCCACATTACTCCCACTAAGGACTCATGAACTTTGCTAAGTGTTTGGTGTGGGTGAGAGTTACAGAAGGAGACGTGGGACCAGAAGAAACTCAAAGAGCCAGACTTGGGGACACGGAAAGAAGAGGAGGGGATGATTAAATGTAAAGAAATATGATAGTGAATAATATGGAAGGAAGAAAAGGATTGATCTGGTACATCTTTTGAAAACTGGCCCCTGTTGATGAAGTGACCAAACTGAGACAAGGGAAACGGCTTGTCTCAGATAAAACAGACAAAGATGGCTTCTGGAAAATCTGTACTATATTCCCTTTCTGGACTTTGCTTACTACTTCCTGTGCCCAGTAGTCATTTGGAATCTCTGCTGTGGTTGCTTTTGGACCTCACAGATCTAGGGGGCTATGCATTGTTTTCTGATATAGATTCTGTTGGGGATAAAGGTTAGGGCTCTGCCTGTGCTCCTGGGATGTCTGTTCAGTCTTCACATCAGAGTTTGCCCTTTCATGGCCTGTGTTCAATAACAATGAGTGAATTGGTTTACTTGCATTTTGAGATGAGAGGGAGTGACCTGCAGTTTGTCCAAAGCCAGAGGCCTCTTAGGTTAGGGTTGGGGTGGAAACAGGAAAGTTGGGTTTTGACCTGAGTTCAGCAGTCTTTCTGAGTCACCTAGGAGCACACTGTTTGAGTATTTAGGACAAGCAAGGCTCTACAAGCTACTGAGATGCTTCAGTTACTCTTACTCTAGGACTTGGGATATGGAAAAAAAAAAAAGGCAAGCAACTCGTAAAAGGAAATGTCTTCATTATTCCTTTTATTTGTCAAAGATTGAGAGTTCTGTCAGTGGAAAGACTGGGCTTGGGAGTTTCAGCTTGGACCTGGAAAGATACAGATGCTGGAGATGCTAAATTTGATGAATCCAATGTTGTAGCCTGAGAACTCCCATTAGAGGCAATTGGGGCACAGTTGTGCTTGTAGCAAAATAATAAACTCTGGGTGGCAAGTCCCTTGCAATTGTTGGGTGGTATGTCTATGACCTATTGTTATTTGAGCAATGAGAGCTTTGACTTTTTTTTTAAGTATTGATTCATAATGGTGACTAAAAAGGATGATTTGATGTGAAAGCCCTGTGGGCCTTCTCTCTGCTCATTATTTTGTACTCTGGAGCTCAATTACAGTTGGTTTTTGGATCCACAAATGTTTGTTAAGGTCTCAGCATTGTAGTTTGTGCCATTGTTCTTGGCAATGTTGGGTGAGAAAGGTCTGATATGAGATGGGGCTTTTGCCCTTGACGAATGGACAGTATATCTCAAGAGACAGGCTTAGCTCAAATGGAAAGCATCAGTCTGCAGCCAAAGTGGGAGCATGATCTAAGTGGAATTAGCTATTTGGGTGATCAGGGATAAAGTACAGTCGGAGAAGGCTTCAAGAAGGTTGTGGTTTTAGGTTTGATGGTAGAACTGGAACCAGGGGACATTCTTGATGTCCCAGTTAGCTTTGGCACAAGAGCAGAGATGGGACACAGTCTGAATGTGAATTTGAAATTGCCACCAGGAAACAGATGCTAATTATGATCATGTACTGCATCTGACAGGAACAAGGAGGCCCTGATGCTGAAGGTCCAGCTGGCTGATATTGAGCCACAGGTCACGACAGCAGGCATCTTGCTGGTCTGAATTCTCCTGACAGCAGCGAGAAGAACGATACCGAGGGCCCACTAAACTGGGCCTCATTTACATTTAAACAGGAGTATCATAGACTTTGATGGGCGCTGTGGGGACCCCAAGAGATGGAGAGGAAGTTGTTTCTGTTCTCAATCTGATGGAAGACTCCATAAGAACTCATAAAAACCAGTGGGGGAGTAGAAGCAGGAGATGGTCCTCTAGGGTTCTGTGGAGTGTCAGTCAGCAGAACAGATGGGATGGGGTCCTGTGGGGAGTGGGTCAAGGCTGTGTCTCCCGTGCTGAGATGGGAGCCATGACTGGAGTTTTCAGAATGTGAGGCGTGTAGGTGTGAGGAGCAGAGGTATGTGCCAGTTGGAGGAATTCCACACATGCCACATACAAGAAGATCCTGACATCTGACTGTCCTGCCCACTACTAGTCCTGTTAGCCACCAACTCTTCAGTGTGGAGTTCAAAAGAGGCATCTTTAGGACAAAGGAAAAAAAAAACTATGTATAAACATTCAGAATGGAATCAGCCACTTGGGGCAACAAAAAAGCTCTGTGACATGGGTGCTCATTTCCAGGAGTTTAAAATGTAATTGGAGATAGACATGTTCAAATTTCAATAACAATGCAATATTTAACTGTCAGTTCAGGATAGCTGAAGGAGAAATATCAAAAAGGACAGGAAACGGAGCCAGTATTTGTTTACTCTCTGGTGTGCCTAGCGTCTCCTTTGTGGCAGAAGTGCAAACCTTCTAAGTGTCAGATTACACTTTACATTCAAATGACAATGAGCAAAGCAGTTGTGAATCGGATGGTTTAGAAGTCTAGGAATTTGAATTAAGGCTGAATAGGTAGTGTGGTCAAAATTAAGGTGCCTTGAAAGAAAAACTAGGGACGTTATTATCTGTTCAATTATTCAGTTTAGCTGCGTTGCCCTCAGGTAACTCTACCATTTTCATCTCCAGTTTATATGTGGTATGGTGGAGGATCAGAGTTTAAGTGACTACTAATGCTGGGTATTTAAAGACTAGGGGGTATTATGGTTCAATGGAAAGCAAATGACAGTTGGGGTCTGACAGAACTACCTATGTGATTTCAACAAATATCTCTACTTCCATTTTTTAATCTGTAAAATAGGTAAATCTTAGGTTTAAATCAAAGAATAAACTTAACACTTATATACTATTTCCTTTTTCAAAGTTAGGATCATTTTCTTTACTATGTGGGTGTCTTCTTTAATATACTTAAACAAAAGATACTATGATCACAGTTACTTCTTACAGGTGAACCCTACATATTTAACCTATTTTGGTGCTATTCTGTGTATGTTATTTTTTTCTTTTCCTTATAGAAGTTGGTGAAGAGATAAGGAGGCTGATGAGAAAACTGATGCCCAGAGAATTTAAGTGATGTGGCAAGTCAGATGGCAAACTGGTTTTAGAGCTCATATGTGTAAAAGTAGGCTTACCTTGTGGCTCAGCTGGTAAAGAATCCGCCTGCAGCGCGGGAGACCTCGGTTTGATCTGTGAGTTGGGAAGATCCCCTGGAGAAGGGAAAGGCTACCCACTCTAGTATTCTGGCCTGGAGAATTCCATGGACTGTATGGTCCATGGGATGGCAAAGAGTCGGACATGACTGGGCAACTTTCACTCATGTATAAAAGTAGCTAGGAGCGTTTGGCCAAAAGCTGGCATCACTTTGTCTTAGAGACATCATGATCTAAAAGTAAAAGCACAGACTTTGGAATCATATAAGCCTGAATTTGATTGTGGATCTGGCACAGGTAGTGTGAGCAGAGCAAATTATTTGCCTCTCTAGACATTTGTATTTACATTTCCACATCTTTAGTATGAGGGTGTGTCTTTTATGTCACAGGACTGTTGTCTAGATTAAATAGATATGCCTGTAGAGACCATTTATTATGCTCAACCCCTTCTCTCACTGCAAGTATGTGCTTTTCTTGACTGCATGGAGAAATGCAGAGAACAGGTAGTTCACCTAAACTAGAGCTCCACCTCTAAACTGGAGGACTGGCCCAGGCAATGCTGTTGAGACCTTCCCCTGGGGTCCAACACCCAAGGCTTCTACCATTGCGTCGTGTTATTGCTTCCCAGAGGAGGCACTATTTTTGCAGTTGGAACTGGAGCTGTTGATTAACAGTGTGCGTTTGGCCTCAGGCCTCAGAAGTTTGATTCTGCCTCTCCCTGTCATGGGGATCCCTGAGCACAGAGACCAATTCTCAGTTTTGTGTTAGGCTCAACCAACAAAGGTCCGTATAGTCAAGGCTATGCTTTTTCCAGTGGTCATGTATGGATGTGAGAGTTGGACTATAGAGAAAGCTGAGTGCCAGAGAATTGATGCTTTTGAACTGCGGTGTTGGAGAAGACTCTTGAGAGTCCCTTGGACTGCAAGGAGAACAAACCAGTCCATCCTAAAGGAGATCAGTCCTGAGCGTTCATTGGAAGGACTGATGCTGATGCTGAAACTCCAATACTTTGGCCACCTGATGCGAAGAGCTGACTCATTGGAAAAGACCCTGGTGCTGGGAAAGATTGAAGGCAGGAGGAGAAGGGGACGACAGAGGATGAGATGGTTGGATGGCATCACTGACTCAATGGACATAAGTTTGGGTAAACTCTGGGAGTTGGTGATGGACAGGGAGGCCTGGCATGCTGCAGTCCATGGGGTTGCAAAGAGTCAGACACGACTGAGCGACTGAACTGAACTGAACTGAACAACCAAGCAGAGCTGCAGAGCCAATAAAACCTATGAAGAGGTGTGGGGTACCAGCTCTGTCTTTGAAAGGCTTTTGGTTGTCAAGTTGAGGCGAGAAGGCTCAGCACCTGAGAAGGTTAGAGGTGAAGGGCCAACAGAGTTCACCTCATCACCTCCCCATTCTACAGATGTGGATGAGGAGACCCTGGGAGAAAAAAGAACTTGCCTAAGTCCACCTTGCTCCAAATGGCAGAGTGGGGAATTGAATCTGGAATTCATGGTTGAATTAAGTCTTATTTCCTCCACAGGACAAACTAGGTATAAGAAGAAAGCAATAGTCAAACAACTTCAAAACACTCAAGTTAGTGGATACAAATTAAACTACTTGTATGTGCTTCCCATTGTAAAGGAAGGTGGAGGAAGTTGGTTTCCAACTCCCAAACCTCAGGCTCTACTTGGAATCAGGGAGGAGAAGGCAACATTTGGCCTAATGCCAGTGTGGGTGACACAGACTGTGGGAATAAATAAATTTACTTCAAGTTTTGAATACCCACTAAGGTGATCCCAACATGATCTCCATAAATATCTTATTTTGATCTTCAATTACTTCTTCAAACAACCCTTGAGGTAGGATTATTACCAAGTTTTCATATGAAACAAAGTTTAAGTATAATTCCTGAGAACACAATTACTCACTGGAAAAGAGAGGTTAAGTAATCTAAACCCATGACCTCAAATCAGTGCTACTTCCATTCCTTTTTTCAAGAGGAGACATCGTTTGGACACTTGCTGTGGGACACTTACTGAGAGTGTTCACTATTCTCTGGTATATGGTAGAGACCCACTTAAAACCCAGCCCCTTTCTTATGGAGTCCTTGATCTGGTGGTAGAGATAAATAAGGGAACATTGCAATAGAGTTTGCCAAATGCTTTGATAGCAGAATGCCCAGGAAAGTGAGAGTAAGACCATCTGTGAGTGTGACTGTGTATATGTGTGGGTACATTTGTACACACAGAGAAAAGTAGGAGAAAAGGAAGGCCCAGGTAGTCTTTATGAAGGAGGTGACACTTGACCCACTTATTGAAGAATGGCTTAGAGATAACCAGGTGGTGAAAGAAGAAAGGACAGGCCAGCCAGAAGAATTAGGGAATTACATGCAGTTATGCAAATCAATGGGATTTGGGGGAAGCTGCACCTCAGGACATGCTGCTCTGCAATGTGGTGGATGGAGTACTCAGACAGTGCTGCTTGGAGGAGGTGATCTGTGGTCAGGAATGTACCATATAGGTGTGTGTGCATCCATGCTAAGTCGCATCAGTCGTGTCCAACTCTTTGTGACCCTATGGACTGTAGCCCACCAGGCTTCTCTGTCTGTGGGATTCTCCAGGCAAGAATACTGGAGTAGGTTGCCATGCTTCCCTCCAGGGGATCTTCCTGATCCAGGGATCGAATCTGTGTTTCCTCTGGCTCCTGTATTGCAGGTAGATTCTTGACCACTAAGCCACCAGGGAAATCCATGTAACATAATAAAGTCACTGAGTCTGATCTTCTGTTCCCTAGTAGCTCAGGGAAGGCTCAGGAGACGTGGGTTCGATCCCTGGGTTGGGAAGGTCCCCTGGAGAAGAATATGGCAGCCGACTCCAGTATTTTTGCCTGGGAAATCCCATGGGCAGAGGAGCCTGGTGGACTGTAGTCCATGGGGTCAGAGAAGAGTCAGACATGACTTGGTGACTAAACAACAACAGCATGGGTTGGATTGCTTGATCACTTTATCAGTGTTTATGGAGCTTTTACTCTGTGTGCTTCTGTAGGAGGTAGACTTTCTGACCAGGGCCTGAATAATGAAAAGGCATTAACTCAAAGGGGCAAAAGAGGATCCTAGACACATGTAAAGGCCCTCAAGAGGAAAAGGTCACTTCTGACTCTCCACCTAAATACCTTGGAAGACACATAGAAAGATGAATGCTCAACCACTCCAATGCAGAAGTCAGACAGATGATCCATCTCTTGCTGGAATTTGAGACAGGATTCTTATATATAGCTGATGAGCCTCAGTTGAAAATACTGTTGCTTCCCTATCTGAAGCCACAGAGGCTCACACTCCATCCTTTTACACAGTTTTGTCCCTTTGTGATCAGAAACTTACAATTTCTGTCAACAAGAAAACTAGGCCATCATCAGATCTTCTGCATGGACAACTTTAATAAAACGACCAAAGACTGTCTCTTCCCTAAAACATCATTATACATATTCTCAAAGTCTACAGCTTTCAGAGAACATAGGCAAGACTGGAGGAGGGAGGTTTGGGAGGAGATTTTGACTTCTGGGCAGAGATATTTCCTCAAGGAAAGTTCTGAGGAAGACATAAAGAGTCTCTGTGACAGTGCACATTGTGCATTTCTGCTATTCGGAGTTGTAAAGAAACTGACAGAAGAATCTGCAAAACAGTAGTATGGAGATGTTTGCTATTAGTGGTATAAATGCTTAACTCTTTGTTCTCCAGATTTTTTTTTAAGCCCTGATTTGTCAAGTTTGCTCTTCTTGTGGTATAAATACTCCCACCACAGCTGATTTTCAAGCTATCAACTTGACACTATTGAAAGTGGAGTTGGGAAGAACTCCCATGGATGGGCTCTAATGAGCCCCAGCACACCGCTGTTAATGTTTGCGAGGAACTGAGGTGACCAGATGAC